GGGCACACAAACACACACACGCACACACACACACACACACACACAACAAACACACACACACACAACAAACACACACAGTTGCATGAAATGACACCTGCCAGATGGGTTAAAACTTTTTGTAATAACAGTATTAGGCTTGTGGTTTGGTGTCGCGGTGTGGTGTGGTGTGGTGTGGTGAATATTACATTCGATACCTGAATGCGACATGGGAGGCTGTGTTGCGAGCCTGTGCCAGGATAAGAAAAAATGAAATGACGCTAATGATGCCAAAAACGTAACAAAATTTGAAAAAGCCAGACAATGAAAAAAAGTGCAACTAATCACCACATTATTCCCATCACGACCATCATCAGCATCGTCTTCATCATCATCATCATCACCACCACCATCATCATCGTCATCACCATCATCGTCATCATCATCATCATCATTACCACCTGATCCTCCGTGCCACCAGTATGACCTTTCTTTCCAGCAAGATGGTGGCCATGAGTTGTAGCAGGAGACCGACTGGCAGCAGTTGAATCAGCAGTCCGAACTTCGCCTGGTCGTTGTGTTGTAACAACGACGTCATCAACAAATCAGTCACGTGATTATTTCGTCATCACTTTCATCATCATGGGCAAGGTCATCATCATTGCCATCCTCATCATCACCATAGTCTTCGTCGTCATCAACATCCTCATCGCCATCATCATCGCCGTTATCACGAACCTATGGAACGCTCAGAATCAATCTTCCACAAATACAAAAACTTCCATACAAACGTATATGCAAACAAAGTGAGATAGAAACATGCACCAAAGCTAACGTAAAATGATACGTAAAAACAAACATATAACTAACAAACGCGCAAACCAACAAACACGTAAACAAACAAAACAAACAAACAGGCAAACAAACAAACACAGATACTAACAGTGCTGAAATGATTTTCAGAACTCCTCTTGATGACACCCGTATACTTGAATCCATCGGAAGCCTGTGGGGCACGATGTTGCAACATGTTGCAGACGATGTTGCAACATGTTGCAGACGATGTTACGTAATGTTTAACATGTTGCAAAATTTTACATGAATATGTATAACAAATAAAAGGCATAACATGTAAAGAGGACATGCAAACACGTTTTAGGAGTTAGTTTTTGTTGATGTTGTTGTTGTTGATGTTGTTGTTGATGTTGTTGTTGATGTTATTTAAGATTGTTACAGTTTGCAACTGCACTTGGCAGGGTTGTTTTTTTTTACAAAACATCAAATCCCGGATGATTGTTGAAAATTCAATCAGATGTAATGAATCCTTTTTCCTGGCCCATCTCCATAAAAACAAGCAAGCATACATACAAATGTACGTAAAAAAAGAACAAACAACCAAACGAACGAGCGAACGAGCAAACAAACAAACAAACAAACGAACGAACAAACAAACAAACATACAAACAGGCTCGCACACAAACCTCAGCCACAATATACAATTCCTTTTTAACTTTCGGAAACTTGAGTTTGTAGGCAGCTTGCATGGTTTGCCTCGCCAGAGCGGCTGAATACTCCCTGGCCTGCTTAAGGACCCTCAACAGCTGCTGATACAAGCAGGTCTCACCGATCGCACTGACGATGCAGATGGCTTCTGGGATGTTGGTGTCTGTCGGCTGAACAAGAGGATGATGATAAAAACTGCGAAGATGGTGGCGAGAAAGAGAATGATGAAAAATAAATGATATAAAAAAAAATAATATTGATATGAAAAAAGCTCACCGTGGAGACGTGCTTATAAAGGTGAGTAATGAAAATTGATCATGTAAAAATCTTTGTTGATGTTGTTTGAATGATGGATCAACAATGAAATCAATAATCAGATCAAAAGGGAACCAATGAAGAAACCAACAAACAAGCCAACGAATGAATTAATAAATTATCATACAGACAAATAGGTGAACAAACAAAACAAACAAACAATAAGTGAATAAACACAACGAACGAACGAGCAAACAAATAAGTGAACAGACAAACGAGCAAACCAGAAATCTGAAACACCAGCAGAATTTTCTATCTCCAGTTGCAGTGGTCAGGAAGAATGAGAACATCTCTCTGGATGGAGGTGGTGTGGTTTGGGGTGGCGTGGAGTGGTTTGGGGTGGTGTGGAGTTGAGCGGTTTTGGGTGTTAAGTGGTGTAGTGAAGTGTTTGAGTTGGAAGTACATCAACATGTATATAACAAATCGGCTTATATACACAAAATAATAAATAAAATTATAATTATAGTTATAATTATAATTATTATAATAATAAAACACGCGTAGATAACAGACTTTTATAAATTATTATTTTCGTTAAAATATGAATTTAAATACCTGACAGAAAAAAACAACTATTTAATAATGTGATAATAATTAACGTTCTTAAACAATAAAATGATAAATTGATAAAGTGTCCATTCTTCAGCACTTCACAATGACCGCGTTCGAATGCAAATGAAACCCTGCCTATCCTACTCATGTATAATGTGTGGTTTCGTCCATATGCTTATAACTGCAATGTGTAAATGTGGAAACTCCTACGACTAAACATAGGGCGCTATATAATTTATAGAAAAAGGTATTTTCCTTTATTTATAAAATTGTGAATACAAAAAAAAAATACTGGATTACAAACTCGGTAAAGTTGCTGATGTTGTCGTGCCACGTGGATGCATCAGGGAAGCAGAAGTTGCTCGTCAACAACTCTGTGTCACTCAACTGGATGGATGGATGGATGGTTGTTTGATTGGATGAGTAGATGAATGGAGAATGGACGAGTGGATGGATGAATGGATGGTTGGATGGATGGGTGGACGAGTGGATGGAAGGATGGTTTGTTGGTTGGTTGGATGGATGGGTAGCTGTATGAGTGGATGGATGGATGGATGGATGTATGGATGGATGAATGGATGGTTGGTTGGATGGATAGATGGATGGATACATAAATAGAAAATTCTATAGCTAGAAGGGAACAAAGTAATGAATATAAAAACATTTCCATAGTAAAAACTGAAAGAAAAATTAGTTAACTGACCGGATGAAGAAATCAATAAACGTCACCAAACGAACAAATTCATTTAAAGGTTAAAGGTTAAGTTCATTTGTAACTTGAAAGAAATTAGTAAATTGACGATGAACAAACTTCAATAACCCAATTAAAAAACATAAAAAAATTTGACAGAAGATCGTACCAAATTGAAATGAATAACAAAATCTATAAAAATAACAGCAAAAATATAAAAGCAAGCAGAACCAAACATATAAAAAATCAAACAAAATCAAATCAGGGTACGAACGTCTTCTGGCCAGTTGAAGATGACCTTAGTTCGTCCACTCTTTCCTTGACTAGAACTACAATCTCTCTTACTACTATCGCCACAGTCATCATCGTCATCATCCCATTCCTCCTCATCGTCTTCTTCATCTTCATCATCTCGCTGTGGTGAAAGTTGGACGATGAGGCCGAACTCGAAGAGGTTGATGTTGGCACTCCGTTTCACCTCCTCGTATTTCGTGACGTTTTTCAACTGTAATAACAAATCAAATGAATAAATAAATGAATAAATGAATAAATGAATAAATGAATAAATGAATAAATGAATAAATGAATAAATGAATAAATGAATAAATGAATAAATGAATAAATGAATAAATGAATAAATGAATAAATGAATGAACGAATGAATGAACGAATGAATGAATGAATGAATGAATGAATGAATGAATGAATGAATGAATGAATGAATGAATGAATGAATAAATGAATGCGACAACAAATATTAAAATGAAATGTTGTTTATTGAAATCCAAGCGACAAACACACACAAATACATACATACAGACAGACAGACACACAGACAGACAAACAGACAGACACATACATGCTTGCAATACAAACAAACACACTCAAAAAACATATTAACTTTTACATATACTTACATACAGTAACACACAAAACACACAATTCTATTTATAAACATATTGACAAACTAGACACAAACACAACACAAGCTTAGTCTCACAAAGACTTACAAAAATAGCAAACATAAAATACAAACGTACAAAGGCACACAAACAATCATACAAACAAACAATCATACAAACAAACAAACATACACACATACATACAAACACACACACACACAGAGTCACACACACACACACACACACACACAAACGAATACAAACAAACTACGAACAGTTTTCTGCCTGACAGTAGATACATAGTTGAGATGCTTCTTATGTTCGATGAGGTCTTGCTGGTTCGCTGTGCCGCTGCTGTTTTTCTGGTTCAAGAAATCCGTTGATACTGTATCACGTGGTTGGTTGGATGGTGTTGGTAATGATTGTAACCGTGATATACAAGGTTATGATGATGATTATGATTTAGATGGTTAAGATGATGATTATGATAGTGATGGTGATATGGATAGATGGTTATGGTGATGATTGCAATGGTATTGATGATGATGATTGTGATGGTGATGATGATTGTGATGATAATCGTGATGATGATGATGATTGTGATGATAATCGTGATGATGATGATGATTGTGATGATAATAGTGATGATGATGATGATTGTGATGATGATGATGATGAGGGAAATGGTGATGTCGATGATGACGTCAAAATGATAAAAGTTGTGAGGGTCAATATAATGATACTTACTAGATCGTGAGACCATAAGAATAATGATGATATGGACGATGATGAGAATGGCAACGAAACTAACAACAAACTATCTCCTTTCAAACTCACAAGGTTTGCTTGATAGGTTATATATATATATATATATATATATATATATATATATATATATATATATATATATATATATATATATATACATATGTATCAGGCTTTTATTTACCTCGCACGGTTAACCGGATGTGAATAAGATGTG